GGTTCCCAGGCTGATAAAAGATTCAGGAGGCTGTTACGTAAATTGCCAGATGCAAGCCTCTCCATTATTACTGAAAAGGCACACCTCTTTTCCAGATCATAGGAAAACTGTTAGAAGAGAAATTAAAAAAAAGTTTCACCCTTACTGTACATGCTGAATCTAAAGAGTTCAGCAGCTGGAATTGTTGTAAAGCCCATTCTTTTTCAATTCAAAACATGCTGCTCAAATGAACTCTGGAAAAACCGTGACTGGAAAGAATCATGATAAACAGTGCCAAGGAGCATAACAGTACAATTAATGTTTATGGATGATGGGCATAGTAGTGCCCAACCCCTGGATGGAAGCAGGTGGAGGACGGCAGGCTCAAACACCAACCTTCAGCCTGCCGCCATCTTTTACCTTAATCTATTTCTCAGAATTGGGAGGACAAAGGTTAAAAATTGCATGGGTACAAGGGAGGTGTAACTACTCGTAGCTCTTTGGAAGGAAGGCAAGATCCCATCTTCCATCTTTTTGGAAGGGGATTGTAACATTGACTATCTTTCAAAGTTCAAGTGGTTGCACTTTGCCACAAACCTCAAATCTTTTAGGAGCTGGCTGGTGGTTTGCAAAACATTTAACCATGAGGTGATCCTATCACATCCTCACAGAAAATGGTACTGGAAGGATATAGGGGCTTCTGCCTGAGCAGGGGGTTGGACTAGAAGACCCTCAAGGTCCCTTCCAACTCTGTTATTCTGTGTTCCATATAAAATGCTTTTCTACTCGTTCTGCCAGACTTTTGTTGAAGGTAACAGAATCATAACAGAATAACAGAGTTGGAAGGGACTTCGGAAGTCATCTAGTCCAACCCCTGCTCAAGCAGGAAACCCATATAATAATAATAATAATAATGATGATGATGATGATGATGATGATGATGGAAGGGACCTTGGAGGTCATCTAGTCCAACCCCTTGCTCAGGCAGGTAACCCTATACCATTTTGGACAAATGGCTGTCCAGTCTCTTCTTAAAAACTTCCAGTGTTGGAGCATTCACAGCTTCTGGAGGCAGTTTGTTCCACTGATTAATTGCTCTAACTGTCAGGAAATTTCACCTTAGTTCTAGGTTGCTTCTCTCCCTGATTAGTTTCTATCCGTTGCTTCTTGTCCTGCCTTCAGGCGCTTTGGAGAATAGCTTGACTCCCTCTTCTCTGTGGCAGCCCCTGAGATATTGGAACAGTGCTATCATGTCCCCCCTCGTCCTTCTCTTCATTAAACTAGACATATCCAATTCCAGCAACTGTTCCTTATATGTTTTAGCCTCCAGTCCCCTACTCATCTTTGATGCTCTTCTCTGTACTCTTTCTAGAGTCTCAACATCTTTTTTACATCGTGGTGACCAAAACTGGATGCAGTATTCCAAGTGTGGCCTTACCAAGGCATTGTAAAGTGGTATTAATACTTCACGTGATCTTGATTCTATCCCTCTGTTAATGCAGCCTAGCACTGTGTTTGAGTGAGCTCACCTGGATATTTATACCTGCTTCTTTTCACAAAACTGGGCCAGGACAGAATAACAGAGTAACAGAGTTAGAAGGAACAGGTTTCTTCTTGGACAACTTCTCTAAAGAACCATTTCAAGTGTCTTCAGAGGAGAATCATGCAGGAAGGAATCCCCTTTTAGAACTTGGAGATGATGCCTTCAGGGAATTGGGGTTCTATACCATACTTACCAAGAGCAGTGAATCAGTCAGAAAGCTGGAAAGATCATGTGTATGTCCAGAGACATAACAGCTAATAAAGTTGCAGATAGTCCTTGACTTACAACCACCACACAGTTGTTAAGTGAGTTTTGCCCCATTTTACGATCTTTCCAGCCGCAGTTGTTAAGTGAATCACTGCAGTTGTTAAATTAGTACCATGTTGTTAAGTGAATCTGGCTTCCCCATTGACTTTGCTTGCCAGAAGTTTGCAAAAGGTGACCACGTGGCTCCGGTACATGGCAACCGTCATAAATATGAACCAATTGCCAAGCACCTGAATTTTGATCTCATGACCATGGGAAAGCTGCAGTGGACATAAGTGTGAAAAATGGCCATAAGATACCTTTTTCAGTGCTGTGGTCACTTTGAACCATCACTAAACAAATTGTTGTAAGTTGAGGACTATCTCCAATTATTCTCTAGAACTGAGGGAGTGGAAGTAATAGATCCCAAACCCACTGAAATTTATCTAGTTTTTAGCAGGACAATAACAGGATTTCTTGATTGGCATTGCTGAAAACTGATGTTATCTACTTGGCATAGACCTGTTTTTAAACATCTTCTTGGGGGGACATTTCCAAGTTCAAAAACAGTAACTGTGAGAGGGACCTTGGAGTCTTAGTGGACGGTCACTTAAATGTGAGCCAGTAATGTGCAGCCGCCGCCAAAAAAAGCTAATACAATCCTTGGTTGTATAAACAGGCATAGAATCAAAAATCACATGAAGCATTAGTTCTGCTTTATAAAGCCTTAGTAACTGGAATACTGCATCCAGTTTTGGTTACCGCATCACAAAAAAGATGTTGAGACTTTGGAAAAAGTGCAAAGAAGAGCAACTAAGATGATTATAAAGGCCTGGAGGCTAAAACATATGAAGAACAGTTTCAGGATTTGGGTTTAGCTATCTAGAGAAAAGAAGGACTGGGGTGACATGATAGCAGTGTCCTAATATCTCAGGGGCTTCCACAAAGAAGAGGGAGTCAAGTTATTTTCCAAGGCGCCTGAAGGCAGGACAGGAAGCAACGGATGGAAACTAATCAAGGAGAAAAGCAACCTAGAACTAAGGAGAAACTTCCTGACAGTTAGAACAATTAACCAGTGGAACAACCTGCCTCCAGAAGCAGTGAATGCTCCAACACTGGAAGTTTTTAAGAAGAGACTGGACAGCCATTTGTCTGAAAATGGTATAGGGTTTCCTGCCTGAGCAGGGGTTGGACTAGATGACCTCCAAGGTCCCTTCCAACTTTTATTATTTTATTATTGATCATCGCACAGTCAGCCAGATGTTCAGACTGGATTTGGCATTTTGTCTACCTATCGAGTCCTTACCCAGGACCTGGGATAGGCAGATGTGGATGTTTGATGGTATTACAGATATCGTCGCAGGATGGAAGCAGTTCCTAGTAAGGCTGCCTTTTGCAATTGACTAATAGCGAATTTGTCAATGCCAATGGTGTTCAAGTGGTGCTCCAGTTGTTTTGGGATTGCACCCAAGGAGCCTATCACTATTGGTACTACCCTTGCTTGCTTTTGCACAGTCTTTCTATTTCTATTTGTAGGTCTTTGTATTTTGTTATCTTCTCCAGTTCTTTCTCTTCTATTCTGCTGTCTCCAGGCACTGCCACGTCCACTATCCAGACTTTTTTGTCTTTCTTATTGACAGTTGTTAAGTCTGGGGTGTTATGTTGCAGGTGCTTGTCTGTTTGAATTCTGAAGTCCCAGAGCAGTTTAATTTTATCATTTTCTATGACTTTCTCTATTTTATGTTCCCACCAGTTTTTGCTTACAGGCAAATGATATTTTTTGCAGATCTTCCAATGCACCATTATTATTATTATTATTATTATTATTATTATTATTATTATTATTATTATTATTAATATTATTTGGACTTCAGTAAGGCATTTGATAAAGTAGATCACAATCTACTATTATTAATCAAGGAGAGAAGCAACCTGGAATTAAGGAGAAACTTCCTAACATTGAGAACAATTAACCAGTGGAACAACCTGCCTCCAGAAGCGGTGAATGCTCCAACCCTGGAAGTTTTAAAGAAGAGACTGGACTTTAGTTTTCTGAAATGGTGTAGGTTCTTCTGCTTGAGCAGGGAGCAGGACTAGAAGACCTTCAAGGTCCTTTCCAGCTCTATTCTGATTGACTGAAAGTTGCCAAATACAGATAACTCTCTTATTGTTCTCCTCCCAACAGGTCCTTCCCATATAACCTTGGATCCTGCCACCAATCATCCCAACCTCGTGCTCTCCAAGGATCTTGACACAGTACACTTGGAAGATAATCCCGAAGAAGAAATCCCTGATGGCTCAGAAAGATTTAGCAAGACTGTGTGTGTGCTGGGTGCCCAGGGCTTTACTTCAGGATGCCATTATTGGGAGGTAGAAGTTGGAAATAAAACCAGCTGGGATATTGGGGTGGCCAAAGAGTCAGTGAACAGGAAGGAGGCCAAAGTGACGGTCAAGCCCAGCAATGGGTTTTGGGCCATTTGGCTACGGAATGGCGTTGAGTACAAGGCCCTTGACTCTCCCTCCAAGCAATTGCTCCTTGATACCAAGCCTGAGAAAGTGGGGGTCTATTTAGATTATGAAGGAGGACAAGTCTCTTTTTACGATGCTGACACCATGACCCACATCTATACCTTTTTGGATGTCTTCTCCGAGTGCCTGTACCCCATGTTTAGCCCTGGGGTCAACAAAGATGGCCTCAATGGTGAACCTCTCTGCCTCCTGTGCCCAGGGATCTAGATGAACCCTGTGTTCACTTTATTTCAGTTGTGAACAGTCTGAAAATGCCTAACATGTCATGTTGTTGAAATTTGGGGGAACTGAGCGTATTCATGGGACCACATGAAAGTTGGCTTGAATTTGAACTGTTCCACATATGGAAAAAAGAAATTTAAGAAGAGGTGATGTTTTATTGTACACCACCCAGAATCCCTCTTTGAGGGAGATGGGAGGTCCAGAAATGTGAAATATAAATAAATAAATATTCCCACAAATTCAAACACAATAAATCAGCAGGTTTTGAGAGGCTCTGGAGAACGTTTTGAGATCAGAACTAGCTATAATGGATGCTCTTCTGTAGACTAACCTTTGACTATACCAGGGGTCTCCAAATGTGGCAACTTTCAGACTTGTGGACTTCAGTTCCTAGAATTCCTCAGCTAGCCATGTTGGCTGGAGAATTCTGGGAGTTGGAATCCACAGGTCTTAAAATCAGGGCTTTTTTTCTCATAGAACACCCAGAACGGAGTTCCGGCACCTTTTTTGGATGGAACCTTGTAAGGTAGGCAAGGCGGGTTGTATGACATGTGTGAGTTCTGGCACTTTTTTTTTTTTAAAGAAAAAAGCACTGCTTAAAATTGTCACATTTGGAGACCCAAGGACTATACTTAACTGGTTTCAACCCGTGTGTTCACTGCATTCTATTTAAAAACTCTGTGCTCTCACTTATGACAATGAATTAAGTCAATCCGAGTTCTGATTTTATGGGACCAGCATTTCTTGTCTATTTTTCCCCCTCCCAATCAGTATATTAGTGCCTTGAAATTTGTATTTAGCAAACTATATGTCTTTGTTTATAAGACATTTTGAGAAATGAGAAGTTTCACATAGACAGCAGATGCTTCTGTGGTTTATTCTTGTTAAGAGAAAGTGGATTTTTCCAGTCCTACAAATCAAACAATAACAACATTCCGACTGCTAAAAAAAAAAAGAAGTTTGTGTTTTGAAAAGTATCTAAGTGGCTAAAATGCTTTGGGGGACATGTAGTTGCTTCTGGGAGAGGAAGTACACCTGTTCACTGGGGAAGCCTCATGGGGAACATAGTAGTTACACAGAAAGACGTTGGTTGAACCAACCTGAGATTTTCTTCTCTGACAATAGATTGGATCAGATACGTGCAAAGGTAAGTGTTCATGAAGAGAGGTATACTATTTTCATTTTTAAATACAATTTCAGGATTAATTTAATATAATTGTTCAATATAATTTCCAAAAGGCCCCCGTTGTGCTGTTTGCTATTGTTCATAAAGGCCCATTTGAGAGTTAAAAGAAAATGATTTTTTTTTAATCTGAGATTTTATCAAACAAACAACTCTTGTTTGATAAAATCTCAGATAAAAAAAATCATTTTCTTTTAATTCCAAGATGCTGGAATAATTCTGTGGACTTCACCGCTTGTGATGGCAAACATTCCATGCTGAAGTGCATCTGGAGATTCATTTAGAATATGTAGGAGTTTGCAATTTAGTATATGGAATAAGTTACATTAATATTTTATGTACCCAAACGCACACAATCAGTTTAAGATTTTAAAATTTATTTTTATTTATCACTGCCATATCTAGCCTGCTCTACTTCACACAGTTCTGCTTAATGTTCTAGTAGTTTTAATCTAGAGATTTTTCACTCTAGATTTTTCACTCTTAGACTACCCAAGTCCCTCCTTCAAAAAACTTTGGGAGAAGCCCATGATGGAATCTGTAAGTTGGCGCTTTTAGCTTTATCATTTATAGTAAATTGCCTTCCAATATTCAGTAGAATGAAGTTAATTTGCAGGTGACGATTTATCCTCTTTTTATAAATAACAGGAACCCCCGAAAGTGGTACTGTGGTAAAAAGAACTGGGAGATTTATGAAAGCCAGATTTATTTAGGATCAGATATGGCTAGATACATATATTGCACCAAGCCATGATTTGTTTTAAACAAGTAAATAAAGTACATTTGCTCTCTCTCTCTCCCTCTCTCTCTCTCTCTCTCTCTCTCTCTCTCCCTCTCTTTCTCTCTGTCTCTGTCTCTGTCTCTGTCTCTGTCTCTGTCTCTCTCTCTCTCTGTGTGTGTGTGTGTTTGAGTGCAAACTGCATGAACCAACCTTGTTTTCTCCTTTCTTCTTACTTCTATGCAATTACTCTATAGCTAGGGTGGGAAATCAGAGGGTGTCACCACCAAGGAGATAAATCCATCTTTCTATTAAACAGCAGCAACAAATGAAGAAAAAGGTAATTTCTCTTTTTTATGGTTTTTTATTCATTTTTTCCATAGATACAATAGTAATTTTTCAACCAACGTGCTATCTGAGTTTACATGCTAATACATATTTAATTCCTAATCTTTTCTTCTTTCCTCCAGCCAATGGTAAAATAAGTCTCAGGTTTGATAATAGTAAGGTGACCAACTTTTTTACAATGAAAAGGAGGACACAAATAAATTGAAGAAAAAAAAATGTAAATAAAAACACATTTTATTCATTGCAACAATAATACAGACAACTTGTATGTGCAAAGTTTGCCAGCCAGGTGTTTTGGCGCGCTCAGCAGCAATTCCTATTGGCTTTTGAAAGCTAACAGTGGGAGTAGCACAGCTCATGCAAAAGTTGAAAAAAAAAAACATCAAAAAAAGGTGCCGGAATGCCGTTCTGAGTGTTCTATGAGGGGAAAAAAAAAAGCCCTGCAGATTAGTCTTCAAATATCGAAAAGGAGGACATGAAGGAGGACACTTTTTGAGGGAGGACAGAACTTACAAAAGGAGGACTGTCCTCCCTAAAGGAGGACGGTTGGTCATCTTAATAATAGTCCGTTTCTTCTTTTTCTTTCAGTCTCATAGTCAATCTGTCCATCTCTGCGCATTCTAGTATTTTTTAAATTATTTCTTCATCTGATGGTATTCCTTCATTTTTCCAGTGTTACACAAATATAATTCTTGCCGCTGTTGTGACATGCAAAGTCAAGTATAAACTTTGTTTATTAGTCTTTTCTGGCATTAAACCTAATAAAAAAAAGTTCAGGTTTAAAATCACATGTTCTCCTAACATCTGTTCTAGCCAAGTATGTATCTTTTTCCAATAATTCTTTACTTTGTCCACCAAACATGATAATATGTGCCTGACTGATGTTTACATTTCCAACATCTATCTGATATATTTTTAAACATTTTTGCTAATTTTGCTGGTGGCAAGTGCAAGCTTTCTTTATAGGAAGCTGACATTGTCAATTTATAGTTTCTTTCCCATAAATTTTGGGAAACAGGTAATTTCTCATTGGCGATTCTTCATTTTCTCTTATGTTCTGCAGATGAGCCATTGTCTGATATGAGTTATGTCCAATCATTCTTTCCTGGTGACTGAGTTCATCTTTGCTGGGTTTTCTGAACGGCCACAATTGCGGATGCTCCTCTTCGTTCTGGTTTTCTCCATGTATGCTATGTCCCTTGCTGGAAATACTATCATCACCACTGTGATCAGGCTCAATCCGGTCCTTCATATACCCATGTACTTTTTCTTGACCAACCTCTCCCTCCTAGAAATATGCTACACAACCACCATTGTTCCTAAGATGCTAGCAAGCCTGATGTCAGAGCATAGGAAGAAGATAGCTCTCTGGGGTTGTGCTACCCAGATGTATTTCTTCACCTTGTTTGGAATCACAGAATGCTGTCTCCTTGCTGCCATGGCCTACGACCGCTATGTGGCCATCTGTAACCCCTTGCGTTATACTATCATCATGAGCCCAACTGTCTGTGTCCAGCTCTCAATAGTGTCCTGGTCAGTAGGATTGATGGTGGGGCTGGGTCAGGCCAACTATGTCTTTAGCTTGACCTTTTGTGGCCCCAATAGGATCAACCACTTCTTCTGTGACATCCCACCACTCTTGACGCTGGCTTGTGGTGACACCTCCAGAAATGTGATTGCTGTATACATGGTGGCCGTCCTTTTTATTACCACACCTTTCCTACTGATTCTGACCTCTTATGTCTACATTGTCATCTCTGTTTTGAAGATCCCATCAGCTGAAGGCCGTCAGAGAGCTTTCTCCACCTGTTCTTCTCACCTCATTGTGGTCTCGCTATTTTATGGGTCAGGCATTATCACGTACCTTCGGCCCAAATCCAGCTATTCAGCTGAGAGTGACAAACTGTTGGCCTTGTTCTATACAGTTGTGACATCCATGCTGAACCCCATAATCTACAGTTTAAGGAACAAGGAGGTTAAGGTGGCTTTGAGAAGAATGATGGGCAACAAACTATGCTCTGGGGAAGATCAAAAGTGATTGTTATTGGAATGGTTTCTTATCCTGTGGTGTCCATATAATCCTACGGTGAATATTTTTTTCCTGACCAAAACTAGTTATCACCTACATTGTTATATTTCCGTGTTTCTGCTGTATGTATGTAAATGTTGGTTGGTTGTTACTCCTTGGCCAGATAAATAATCTGAATAATTGAAATTTAGAAACACTGGAGGGGAGTATCCTCAGTAGGTGGCCCCATCTAGTTGGTTAGCTTTTGGGTGGAGAAGCATTGGAAGCCCCAAGACCGTAGGCTGAAGTGGAAAACTGAAAAGAAAAATATCCTGAAAGAAAACAAGGATAAACCACTTCTACGTATTTCATAGCCAAGAAAACATCATCTATTTATTTTAATGCTAGTTTTAATCTGGACTGAATCAATGTGACAGTATTTCCTTTGCTGTTACAAGTTGCTTAGACACATAGATAGAAAATTGGGATGTACATCCATTAAACCTAAGGCAAAGTGTATGATCATCAGCAATTCAGGTTGATTTGAGGGAGCTTTCATGATTATTTAGGAGTGTGCAGATACTAGATCAGACTTGGAGATTTTATAGCCCCAGCCCACATCCTGCCCTTTGGCTATCCTTGTCCAGCCTGCTTGAGGTCAATTGGAAACTAAAAATCAAATGTAATTAAGCATACACCACAAACACAATACAACTGCATTATTTTTATTCTGAAGGTGATTGTTATTTTTTAAAATTTACGTATGTGCGTGTGTACATGTGTGCATATACATTTTCACAACCCTATTGGTTTCAGCCCTGCACAATATTGCCAGTTTCTCATGTGGCCTCTTGGGAAAATAAATTGCCCCTCCCTCTGCTACATCCCCATCTTCTGATCAGCCTACACTTTCAACCCTGGTTGCTATAAGCATTTTTTTTAAATTAGAAGAATCCCAAGCATTAAACTAATGTATATAAATTGCATTACATCCTCAAGTAGCATTTTGCAGGTCCCTGACCCCAAAACATTTTTCTGGCAAACAGGAAGTGCTACTCAACTATATGATATCTATTTAGGCTGCTAAATACATTTCACAAATACACTTTGCTAGGGAAATTCAACTTTCACTTAGCTATCGTCCAAGGATTGTTGATTGGCTAGGAAAAGATACTAGGAGGTGTGGAGTAAACATATAGTTCTCAACTTATGACCACAGCTGAGCTGAAAATTTGTGTTGCTAAGCAAGACAGTTGTTAAGTGAGTTTTGCCCAAGACAGTGGTTAAGTGAATTACTGCAGTTGTCAAGTTAGTAACATGGTTGTTAAGTGGATCTGGCTTCCCCATTGACTTTGTTTGTCAGAAGGCTACAAAAAGTGATCACATGGCTCCAGGACGCTGCAACCGTCATAAATAGGAATCAGCTGTTAGGGGTTTGAATTTTGATCACATGATCATGGAGATGCTGCAATGGTCATAGGTACAAAAAACTGTCATAAATCACTTTTTTCAATACTGTTGAAACTTTAACCAGTCATTAAACGAATGGTTGTAAGTCAAGGAATACTTGCATATTGGAAAAAAAGGACAGTTTAAGGTAAGGTAGTCTGTTACAGGAATTCCTCAAGTTACAACCACAATGGAGCCTGCCTATTACAGTCATAATGATTGGAACACGGGTCGTTCTCATGACTGACCCAATTTTACAACTTTTTTTGTGGTGATTGTAAAACAAGCACCACAGTCATTAAGTGAATCCATTACTTATTTAGCGGAAGTGCCAGTTTTTGGTGAAACCAATATGGTCACGTGATCATAAGACACTGCAAACGTGGCCCTGTTGCCAAGCACCCAAAGTGAAGTCATGTGATTGTGAAGGGGAGGGGCTGTCAGAACTTCCAATCCGGGTCATAAATCCTCTGTTTTGGGTCAGTCTTCATAAGAGGACTGTTTGTATAAATAAATAAACTATGCTCATGGCATGTTTCCTTTATGTTCTTTCAATGCTCCTCGTCTTTGTAATCCTGCCTCACAATTGCCTCATCAACCTCACTAAATTCATGTGCAAAATCCCATCAGCTGTTGTGTACATCGTTCTCCTTTCCATAAGTCCAGAAAGAGGGACTGTATCCCATTCTCTTTTAGTGTCTGGCTTTGCCCACAAGGCTACCAATAAACTGATTTGTGCTTCAGTGTCATTGTGTCCTGGTCTCTGGTTTAAAGCTATACCTGTGGGGATTCTACTTGCCAAACACTGGAAAGAAAAAGAGATGCCGACTGTTGAAGAATGGATTTTGAAATTGACTGAAATAGCTGAGATGGCAAAACTAATCGCTTTGATGAGAGATAATGGACTAGACAGCTATATAAGAGACTGGAAACCATTTGTGGACTTTCTACATGCTAAATATAATAACAGATGGTTAACAGAGGGATTTGAAGATTAGTGTAATTTTAGCTCAGCCTGTGGATTGCTTTTCTTCTTTTTTCATGTCTGTCTGCCTGCCTACTACCTACCTACCTACCTACCTACCTACCTACCTACCTATCATCTCCCTCCCTCCCTCCGTCCCTCCATCATCCATCCATCCTTCCATCCTTCCATCCATCCATCCATCCATCCATCCATCCATCCATCCATCCATCCATCCATCCATCCATCTATCTATCTATCTATCTATCTATCTATCTATCTATCTATCTATCTATCTATCATTTACCTTTACATATTTGTAAAAGGGGAGGAGAATTTATTACTATTTTCTTTTCAGCACTCAGTCAGGGTGGATACTACAAGTTAAATGTTAAATTTAATTGATCACTTTTTCCTCCTTTTTTGTACACTATTCTCTCTCTCTCTCTCTCTCTCTCTTTCTTTCTTGGTTAGGGTTGAATGTATGTTTCTATTTGCTAATTTTACCTTTCTGTATTTTATTCTCTACAATAAAACAACTCATTTAAAAAAACCTATGCCTGTGAAAATTCTCCCACAATCCTTCGTTTTATAGATAGTTTCTCATACCCATGACCTCACATTTCCTCAAAAAATAATTCAGTATGAAGAGTACAACTCTTAGTCTTCTGTGTGTGTGTGTGTGTGTGTGTGTGTGTGTGTACACAAGAGCAATTCGGAAATAAACCTCCATTTGGTTATCAGTGACAGACACTCACAGATACAGAACTTTCATTATATACATTAGAAAACTACAACATTACATTACTTTTTGACATAATCACCATTCAAATTGAGGCACCACACCGGAAGGGGTTCGAAAGAAAATCCGACCAAATGTGAAGATGCCAAAAGAGCACTGCTAGTGAAGTTCATGGAGCATGGTTTGACCATCAATTCAGAAATCTACTGTGAAATATTACGAAAATTCAGACGAGCCATCCATAACAAGTGTCGGGGTATGGTGTTGGTTCACAATAATGCTTGCCCACACACCGCTAGTTCCATTGGGATATTTTTTTTATCACCCCTTATAGGCCAAATTTATTGCCGAGCGACTACTAGTAAAGAATTTCAAACATCGTAAGATGTTATGACAAGTGCCTCAATTTGAATAGCGATTATGTCGAAAAGTAAATGTAATGTTGTAGTTTTCTAATGTGTATGATAAAAGTTCTGTATCTGCGAGATACACACACAAACACACACACACAAACATATATTAAAGAATATATATATTCTTTAAAGAATATATATATTCTTTAAAGAATATATACATTCTTTAATGAGATCAGCCATTGCATAACTCAAGACCTATGGTTTACTCTCTGTTATTTTGCATGGAACTGAAAGATCTGGGTAACAATCTGGTGTAATCCAAATTACAGAGGCCCAACTGAAAAAATGATCAAACTGTAGATGTTCCTGATATAAATACACCACATTTTGGTAATTAAGACATAGTTAATGCAATCACTTCTTATATATTATATAATTTCTCTTTTCTGTCAGATAAAAATATTACAATTTAGGGTCAACTTTGGGGTGGGCTCCAACCAAAGTTTGAGAGAATGAATGAATCTTCTTTCAACTGCTTGAGATCTTCCCAATGAGAATTAACTATTAAAAGGGTGCATCTGTATGTAGCTGGTAGAAGCCATGATGATGACAGGCAATCCAGGGTGTCATCACACCAATGATAATATAATGCAAATATCACATCCCTCCAGTGGTGGGATTCAAATATGTGAACAATCGGTTCTCTGTGTGGATGCCGCTTCCAGAAGTCCATTCTGGGCCTGGGCAACAAAAAATTAGCTACCGGTTCTGCTGAAGTAGTGCGAACTGGCTGAATCCCACCACTGCATCCTTCCCTTGCCCTCCCCATACTGCCATTCTGCAATGGATTTTAATACAGCTTTCTGTTGAAAATGGGTGGAAAATTGCAAATTAGTGCTTTCCTGCCAAAATGTGACAGTGTGATCTCCAAGGGATGCAACCAACGATCTTGGTTGCTCACCCCTGTAACTCAGGCCAGGCTGCATTCAAAGAACAGCCCCATCCTCACGAAGGGGGTAATAATTCAATAGGGATGGAATTATAAAGTGTAAGGAAAACTCACTTTTCTCTAATTGAACCCAAGAGAAGATCTATGAACTTTGAGTCACTGGCTCAGGAGATACATTATTCATCTTGCTGTACTTCTGAGGCTCTTAGAGGAAATGGTCCATTGTCAGAGGAAATGAATTTCTTGCCATTAAATTTATTAGTCTTAATAATGCCTGCTGAGATTTGTTTACCAAGTTAAACAAAACTTGCATCACTTACTTTTATTTTTTTTCTTCCTCGTTCTTGGCTTTCATCAGCTGTTGGCTTTCATCAGCTATAAAGCTTTTATATGTTAACACATTGGTTGAGTGGACACATTGCACTAAGCCCTGATTGGTTAAACTGTTCATGCAACATAATTATTTACACAGCACACACTAAGTTGTAAACCAGGTTCGCAAACTGTTACCGATGGAGTCATACACTAAGCCAATGCTTCTCAACCTTGACAACTTGACAATGTAGGGACTTCAATTCCCAGAATTCCCCAGCCAGCCTCGCCAAGGTTGACAAGCACTGCACTAAGCCAATCCAAAACCAAATAACTTACATCACGTCTTAATACAAACATTCCCAATCTTTTGGGCTAAAAGGCAAATGTAGAAACTGGTGGATGCTATGGTGCTATAGTGCAAGAAGTCAGGAGCCAGGATAAAGCTCAAAAGTACTACGAGTTTATTTCATGCTATCTATATGCAAGTAATGGTCAAGGCAAATTGGTGCCAAATAAGAGTCAACAGACTTCAAAGGGTGCTGGACTTAGGTCTCTTTTGATGGTGTAGAGCAGGGGTCCACAACCCCTGGACCTATTTGCAATCGGGCCACATAGCGGTAGACTGGTGCACCCAACCACTCACAGCTCAACTTGCGTGAGTGGCGGAATAATAATAATAATAATAATAATAATAATAATAAAGTTGGAGGTCATTGAGTTCAATTCCCTGCTCAGGCAGGAAACCCTATAGTGATAGGCTCCTTGGGTACAATCCCAAAACAACTGGAGCACCACTTGAACACCATTGGCATTGACAAATTCACTATTAGTCAATTGCAAAAGGCGGCCTTACTAGGAACTGCTTCCATCCTGCGACGATATCTGTAATACCATCAAACATCCATATCTGCCTATCCCAGGTCCTGGGTAAAGACTCTATAGGTAGACAAAATGCCAAAT